AATAAACAGATAGCAAAGGTCAATTCTGACATATTCATTATCAACTGACAATAACTTGAGACTTTTCTAATATCTCTAATTACTGCAGCTTAAGCAGGCAAATGTTTGTATGGTTTTTGTATATTAATATACAAATGTGTGTTGATATATATGTATGTATTAACATATATTTAGATAAATTGGAAATAATTTCTAATAAAATTTTATTATAATATTGACTTGAATAGAACTAATTTCAAATTTTAATTTAATTGCTCGGATTACACTTTAGAAGTCCTGCAGGCTACAAAACTAATTTAATATGAAACATTAAAATAATAATAATCATAAATTCCGAAAATTTCATTGTTACAATATATCCTATATTTTGATAATTGGTGATTATTTCATTAAAGTCGTGAACTTTAATATTTGTTTCAAAAGTAAAAGCTTATAAAGTTTTGTCAGGTTAGGTTACTAGGTGCCGTACGAAGTCGCACTTAGACCATGAGGTTTATTGTAACACTCTTAAGAATTTGACATCTGTCACTATAACCATTTAGTACTGGTCACAAAACCATTCACATGAGCTAGGGAAATAAAATTTAGCTCTCTAATGAATTAAGAAAATGCGACCCTATCTAGGAGAGTCTATGTCTTACGAAAGCAGGAAACTGTAACAGAAGGTGTATTGGTGATTCCTTTTCGTTATCCTCAATGCAATGTCTATAGTTTGTGGTCCCAACGGACATTGTCCCGCAATAATTCCCACTATCCTAGATAAATTTGTGTATCTTTATAAGAGCCAGTTTCTCATAGCTGACACTTAAAATATATATAAAAGAACTAACAAATATTGGTTATATGCTAATTGCTAACTATAAGAAACTGGCACTAAAAATACTTTTCCCCTCATTATCAGCATTTAAAACCTTAATAAATTTTGTTTAAATAAGTGAACTTAAAGATAACTTAAGTCATTGAAATTAGTTAATAAATGATCCTTTAAACTCCTAATGATAATTAAAACTCTACTTTATCACTGAAAGTTGAAAGGTCCAAGTATACTAAATATAAGACATATGTTAATTATCAAAACATTTGAGGAAAACACCATTTGTGTGCCAAAACTAAAATGGCACTAAATGCGTACTAATATTTTAGTGTTGATGTCAATCTTGTTATCAACTTTGTTGACATTTTAGTCCTGTTTATTTTGTGTTTACACTCATTTTATTATTAATTATAATCCAGTATATAGCCTTTCCGAGATTACTATAAAGTGAAGTACTCTCACCTACTACAAGCACTACTTCGTACTTCATAATTATTTTTCTATTTCGTTTAATGTAATTTTGAAAGCTTGAAATTTGCACTTTTCATTCTTTTTACCTCAAACAGCAATGCAGAATACGTGGTATAATTAGTTCTAACAATTCCTTACTGCTACGAACCTAATACTGACTTAATAAATTATATGACTAGAATGCTCCTACAATATATAGGTCGATCGCAAAAATGTAATTACGTTTGCTATGCATAGATCTAATCAAAACATATAATTTTTAGAAGGAATAACTTCGTAATTAGGCCATGTGAAATTATAGCACAGCAGTTGAATAAAATGTGATTGTAATGTATTGTAGCAATTCCTTCTGTGACATATGCCAATCACATCAAAATTGTAGAAATAAAGTCGCTTAACAGAAAAGCCTGAAAATTATCTTTAAATTGCAACTCATACAGGAATTGCTATGCAATTTCCACCACAACAAGGTATGTAGGCACCCGCACATTGCGCACGTACTTCAGTTTTATTTCCTCCATAGAGTGACCACTGACAGTCCACCAACGGAGTGGCACATAATTCTCTAGCGTGCATGTGGGGAGTAATTTTAACTCAATCATTTGCATATATCAAAAATCGACAATTGCAGTTGGAATTGCACTTTGCGTGCAGCAACAAAATGTGCAATCATGGCATACGAAAAGTATTTGAATATTTGCGCTTTTATTCCTACTTCGGTCTGATTTGCATACCAAATGTTCAATATTTAGTTGAGGAGTACTGCGCCACAACAAGTAAAAAGGATGAAAAGTTTCATTTAAAAGCTTCAATTTTAGAAAGGAAAAATTTTTTTGGAAGATTTTAGCAATGGAATATTTTAAATGAATTAATGCTTCGATTTTATAATAGAATTATATTGACATAGTTGTGAACATGTATTTACTTATACACACATTTATATTTACATTTAACATACATCCATTACTACACAATCGAGAGAAAGCAACAGTCAAAATAATGTACTTAACCAAGTTAAGTAATTCTGAATATGGAATATATCGTACAGACAACCCACAAAGTGATGGCAATATATTCCTAAAAAGCATGGGTTAAAATTCACATAAACTTTTTCCTCAAAGCGATCAATGGTAATCATCACACAGATAAAATGTATAAAATTTATGAAATTCATTAAAAATTATATATATAAATTACATTAAAAGGCAAGTCTTTCGAAGAAATTAATTTTTTGATTGACCTTTCAGCTATTTCGGGTGTTGTCATATACCTATGGTCTTCAGATATATGTTTCTTAACTGTTTGTATATAACATTTAAAATCAAAGTACAAAAAGCTACATGTGTAGCACCTTGCCAAATGTGATCAGAGACTAACGTTTTATAAACCAAAATTTATGTTGTAATTGGTTTGTATAGATTAAATGGAGAGTAATTCCTTAGGACAGTAATAGATTATAAATTTTTTGCTAACCGAACTTGATTAAATAGTCTGAAAAATAAATCATATTTCTGGATTGAAATTGTTATAATGTAATTGACTAAATTCACACTAAATATTTTTCTAGAGCAATGCAAAATAGAGCTTCACATAATAATACATATCAAAATACTATTATATCTCAACAAATAAAATTTTTATTTTAAGAACCTTAAATTTTATCGACTGAAATATATTATATTTAATACGTAGCCCTATTAAAGTGAAGGAAAATGAATAAAATTTTAGCGTTTCCGTATATCCGTATATTTATAAAAGTATTTAAAGATCGTTTACAGTATCTTAACTTTAGTATTTATTACTACTTTCAAATAGGTTTATCTTTCATTTGTGGAAGAAGTTTATTTAGGGAAGAAGACATTAAAACATTAAAATTAAATGAGAATTATATTTCAACAATTACATTATGTACAATTTTTAATTAAATGAAATAATAATTCTCATTTAGTTTAGATTACTTTGACTATTAAAGGAAATTGAATTTCAACAATTAATGTATAAATTTAATGTAAAGAATATTCTTAGACAAGTTTTCAATTGTTTTCAATCTCAGTTTTTGACGATTGTGACGGAAATAGTTGCGACTTAACTATAGCTGCGATAAAAATATAATTTTATTCATATGCTTTCATAAAACAAGACTGTATAGAGACAGAATAACCTGAGGCGTTCCCTCTAATTCAATAAGATCTGAAAAATAACGCTATACAATGCACAAACAGATATAAACCATTATTTGCATGAGATTGTTAAAGTTTATACTATTTAAGAGAAGCCAATTTGTGTGAAGATGTATATCGGTGGATCAGTGATTCCTCGCGTTTTGTACTGAATTATGCTATCCGAACAGATTTTAATAATTGCCTGTGATGTGTCCTGATAGTTTAGATGTTTGAATTGTGTCCTTTAAAACTCTGTCTGGTCAACTTATAAATCCTGAAATTGCTTGCGTCATATCTCTGTTTGAGAACGCAATTAAGTTGGGCAGCATTAAATGCTTAAATAGATAGGTAATTTGTAGATAGTGTAGATATAAAACTTTTTTTTATGAAGTTTTTATGAACTTTAATATAAAGGTATTGACAATATAACACGCCAATTCATTAATCAAAAAATTATGATAGTCTGACCATAATTTTAAGAT